CAAGGCTTGCAGATGTGTTTGGCGAGACGATTTTGCTTCCTGACGGGTCTCTGAATAGGAAAAAGTTGGGAGAATTAATATTTTCTAATGAGCATCTTCGTCGAAAACTCAATAGTATAATTCATCCTCTTATACTAAAAAAAATGATAGTAATACTTATCCAACAATTCATAATGGGTGGTTTTTGTCTTTTATTATTTGCAGGAAGACGTTTTGTTGTTCTAGATATACCTCTTCTTTTCGAAATACGCTTCTTAAGACATTTTTTCTCGGAAATCATAGTTGTCAACTGGTAATTGATTTTATTAGTTATCTTCTTAAGCCCCAAGCAAAAGCAACTTGAGCGTTTGCTTTTACGGAATCCTGAATTATCTGCCAGTGAGGCATCAGCTCGCATAATGGCTCAAATGCCACTTGAAGAGAAATGTCGTTTGGCCACTTGCGTAGTTGAAAACTTTCTCTGTGCGCAATTCCCCAACGATGCCAAAGTATTGTTGAGGAGTCAGGCATCAGCAATAGTACAAAGGCTCAATAATTCTTGGCGCTCGTCATATTTGGTTTGGCGAAACCGTATAGTCCTTTTGCTTCCACTGATTTTATTATATTTTTTTTCAAGCTACTTGCTTTCACTATGAGACGATAAAGCTCTCATTTTCTAGAACTAGCGTTAAAGAATTCCTACAGCTCTGGCCTTTATTATCTAGAGCTATTGCGAAGATCCTTAGGCCTGAGCAGTATGGTCAACGGTATATTTCGTCGCCTCGGTCATCTAAATTTTTTTTTAATTCTCAATTTAACATGTAAATCACTGCTAGAAAGTTAGTATAGAAAAATCTACCATCCATTGTGAAATGATTTCCCTTGAATTTTACCTAGTCTTGGTTCACACAAGGTATCCTCATCCAGAGTGAACATCAGTTAATTATTTAAAATTATTACCTATGTACCACACTTCAACGAATAGCAGTTAATCGCAGGAATAAATAGTGTTATTCATGGCTAAGTATGACAAGTAATTGATTTCAAATAACTATATCTCGACACTGATCAGATCTCGCAAAATCAATCGGTTATTATAGGACTTTGCCTTGGTTCCGACTTCATATGAGAGCAGCCTTGTACTAGGTCCACTTAAATTTGCCATGACCGAAATGTGTGTTGCAAAGAAGTCACACAAGTAGCCCGGCAGAAAGGCGGAGCGGTAGGACGATCATTCTGGGTAAGCTGGCGGAGCAGGAGCTACAACATTGTAACGGAGCCATCCTGGTTACAGAAATTCCGCTATAACTTACCACAGGCTACGCGCTGTAGAAAGAAGCGTCGAAATATGAAGCTGAGTGGTTCTCCAATTCGTATCGTCGTCCAAATGGCCAGAGTCCCTGTCTATTTAAATAAGTTTTCTTCCTACTCCATACTATATAGTATAAAAAAGGTCTAGTTTTGATTGAATTCGGACGATCGAACTGCCTTTGGGTTAGGGGAAGGAGTCTGGTCGGTACGATGTTAAGCCCAGGCAGTGCTGGCAAGGATATTATCGGCAAAAATTCAAAATACATAGGTCGAGGCGTGTGGTGTATGTGTGTAAAAATGATCTGTGGGAAGTAAGACAAAACGTAATTAAAACGAATCTATGTAGTTATATGGCTGGGCGTTCATAAGGCAAGATGCTTCCATTTTTATATACTTAAGGAATAATTTGGAGATCTGTGAAGTGACCGGTGTAGTAATTTTATCTCTAGTGAGTTAATGGAGAATAGTTACCTATGAATAAACAGGATTTAGACCGAAAAATAGGACAGACAATATTGTATGAAGGGCATGTAGACTACTTGATAGATGACGTTCTTGAAACGAGATATTATTTTCCTTTAGAAAGTTCAGACTACGCGACTTTTAGGAATATCAGTCATTAATCACAGCTTTTCATACCTAAACAAACTTACAGGTTGAGAAATTAATAAGCTATTTGAGAGCTGCTAAATTCTTCTCTAAGTAATCAAAGAAAAGCCAAACCGGTCTTGAGCTGTGCATAGCATTCGAGACAATAACAGTTAAAGTCGGGACCGAGGGTGCTGTTGGAATTAACTAAATGAATAAAGATAACGTCTACAAAAAACAAAGTTAAAGCAGTAAGATTTATCGGGATGGAATGAGCTACGTAAAAGCCAAAAGGCAAATTTTACATTCCAAAAAATAAATCAAGAAACATGACTAATGATAGTAGAATGTTCTGTATAAAAATAGAAAGCTAAAAAAGGAGTCAGTGTTCATACGCTTCTTGTACACAAGTTCATAAGAGAAAGTGCGTCTCTTTCTTACATATAACGAGGACTGGTTCTTCCAAAATTTGCTGGTAGTTGACAAAGGTATCCCCTAGCGGAAGGCTTTTAGTCTGACTAGTTAAAAAGGTTAATAATTACAATAAATAGATTACAGGTGTATTTAAGAAACAAGAATACCAGTTTCGCTTTAGGATATTGATTTGTTTTTTGTCCGAATGTTGGGTACTGATATCATTAGACAACGTATATACGGAAAATAACAGCTGGATCCCAGATGAAAATGCTTATAAAAGATTTAAGTTTATAGAGGGGAAAAGAGAGGTGTAAGTGTTCAGCTGGATACTATATGTACAAATGTACATGCCTTCCATAATCAGTCGCCACACAGCAATAATTCGTATATTCCGTTTTTAAGACTGCTTACTGTTGCCTCACATAAGTTTCAGTTAAAAAAGCGACGCACAAGAAACACCTGTCCAAGTCCGACAATAAGAATACAAGCGGATTGTGCAGCTGACCAGCGAGTGACACGGAGCACCAACTGTTCAACAAAACTAGCCGCTATTGCGTCATAGGCACGTTGTGTACGGATTTGGGCGCTCACCTGATCCAGATAAGACTCAATGTTAATCAAACTCTGCAAAAAGGAAGTAGGAAAAGACATGGCCATATATATGAAATCTGCATGTATAAAAATAGATTAATCAGACTTGTGCTGAAATGTACAGTTAAATATGAAAGACGTTACAATAAAAAATTTCCGCATGACCAAACGAACACAATTATACGAGTTTGAATTGGAGTATTCGAAAGAATGAATGGCTCTCATTGTAGTAAGTGCGATTCAATTCCTAAGTGCTCTCGTCTAATCTCGTGATTTTGAAGCCATTCGCCTGTTTAATGTGGATTTTTTAATTAGTCAGGCTAAAAAATAAGTAAATATCTATGCAGAGCCAAAAAGTGCTCTTCCTTATAAGCTATACAACAAATAGAGAAATGTATGTGAAGCGAAAAATAAAAATTTGTTCTATCTGTGCATTTAAACATAAACGAGGAAAGAAAAAAATGTTGTATGTGGGTGTAGGGTGTAAATATAAAATAAAATTATAGGTAAATAGGCCAAGCCTGATTTTTACAAGTATTAGCTCGCACAACATTTGTGTGTCGGGGAAATAAGAAGAGGTACTTTTATTCAGGGCCAACTATAACACCGACAATACTAATTTCCTGTTATTGGCAGTAACAGGAAT